CGGCGTAGTTTTATGATCCTATACAAATTTATACAACGTTAAAGTAGTATTTATAGTAGCATCTGACAACCACTCACACTAGATCATTTTTTTTTTAATCTTTATTTATTAAGAAGGGCTTTTTTCCGTAGAGGAAAATGTCAGCCCTATTATAGGATACAAAATTCAATACAAAAAATAAAGCAGCTAAACCTTTTGTAGGTTTAACTATCCCTTAACTCGTCGAGTACCGGTTTTATAGACACAATTAAAGAACAATAGGTCGCGGTCACCGGTGACCGCTTGGTGTTTGACAGATTAAGCTCAAACACAAATTAATTACTATACAATTTTCTAGCATCGGATGACAATGGTGACGCTAAAACACCGTTATAAAAACCAATATTAAGGCACTTAAAACTAAAAACCTGATTCCTCTGAGACTCAATACGTCGACACTCATACAAAATGTATTGCACATCCTCCACAACATCACATACAGCACAATTTGGTGATTCGACTTTATGCATCATGAATCCGAAACTATTAAGAGGCACTAGATCATGTAACAAAATCTATCAGGAAAAGAAACATAAAACATAATATAGAACAGCACTCATAAAGTTCACTTAAGTCAGGTAAGATTAGTCGAATACTAGTTTATTCCGGTATATGTCATTGAGACACAGCCTTTATCCCGCTAATGCAGTATGAAAGCAAATCGCAGGTTACAAACGAGCGGATCGAAGTAGAACTAACGATAATGCCGGATTACGAGCGCACTCCACCGTCCTGCACACTAGTGCACCGACTTACCGCCATTGCTTATAACGTATGAATTTATTTCATTTATGTTCCTCAAGCACGGCTTGCAACATTGTACGACTTCGGGATTTCGTCACACAACATTTCATTCGATTCATTGAGCTGAGGTTTAGAGATATGCTACGTGCTGCTTTTTAAAATGTGCCTACTTTATATTCGTATTTGTTAATCCACTGCTAATACAAACATAAATGTGAAAATTACTTTCGTATTAAATCGATATTTTGTACTCACAAATAGTTAAATAATTTTAGAACTAGCACTGTTACACCTGTATTTAAAATATTTAAAGAGTTGCTTTCTGCCAGAAGTCTTATATTTATAAAAATGTGATTTATACTAACAAAACCTTCGTAATGGTCATGGCGTACAAATAATGATATTCTATTTGAAATTTCTAATTCCAGAATGTTAATATTATATATTATTCTATTTTCATTTAAATCTCATTTAATATTCATAATTAATGAACTTCATTGGTGCATTAACAATAAATATATAGTTCTAAAATCTATTTTGTGAAAATCTAACTGAAATAATTAACAAAGTTATTATTTAAATAAACATGAAGTCATGCGGTTTTACAATGAAATTTAAATGGATAATGCATTTTATAATTTGAGGTACTGTTGAGAGAGGTGTTGAATTATATTCTAGTTTACAGAACAAACGATTAATTTACATGATAGGTTTCCTATTTATATTCTATTCAAAATAATATCTTGTCAGCTTCAAAGTACCGCAAATAATAGCAATAAAACCACTCAAATAGTAAGTATACTGAATAAGTCAATACTAAGTACCAAATACATTAGTTATTTGATAAAGATGAAAATAATTTGGCGGCAAATAAGGAAAAACGACGTAAAGGTAGGAAGCAGTTTGTCACCGAGCCCCGACACCAGGAATACACCTACTGTTGCTTACTATTGCTTACTATTGCCGGCTATAATAGCAATACTTGATTGGTAGACTTTATCTTGTGGTTCAAAGAAACACAGATTACCTTCACAAATATTAATAGTGCGGAGTCCATTAGCACTCACACCTAAACATATTACACGAGATAAAGTCGTTGGGTGTGCAAACAGGTTGAATCTGCAAAACTTTCTTGCTAACTGATTTTCGATATAATAAGTGTGTGGTGACCACTAACTCGATTGGGAGCGCGGACCAGGCCACAGCCAGCCCACCAGGGGCCGCCACTGGCCGCCACTGTGCCAGTACTTTGCTGGCCAGCGGTCCTTAATTAATGTCTAGAGGTCGGCTTGCGCTCTTTGATGTTTAACAGACTCGTTACTTGTATTGTGGATAACGTTACCACAGAATACACTACTCATTAACGGTGAGAGCACAAATACTCTGACTTGTTCAAAAAAGATTACTTTCGTTAATAACGAAGGAGATTCCACAGTTTGTGGAAAAATATCTAAAGCTACATTTAGTTACGCCCTGTAAAACTTTCCACAAATATTTATAAAACGCCATTTTAATCATGCCTTGAAGCTTGATTGTTATTACAATGTACTAAGACGATTATTTCGTTGTTATAAGGATTATAAAGGTCTTATCCAATTAGATGCTAAATATTATTTGCTGAAGCTTAAGCCCGACATAACAGCTGAGTACCTTGTTGAAACCATAATTAGGAGATGATACGACGCAGCCCGGGCACTTGGTTAGTGTATCACTTGCATCACTTGTCCACTCACGGCCCCTCTATCCCTGACCGCTGAAGGTATTCAATAAATAGCTACTTGATCGCTCAATCGAGAGACTTTTTAATTTTTCCTCTGTATGAACCTAACTAGAGGGCGAGAGGGTGAGGACGTTCGAGGCAATAACTCATAAAGGCATGCTCGGCTCTATAAATTACCCGAGGGCCGTTCGATAGAATATCGACAGGCCAACGTGACCACACTGCAGTATGCCTCGCAGATCTACATCGAGGCCGACACCTAACTGATTCATTCCCCTATAGAGGTCTGTTTTTTTTTAATTAGTACGTCTAAAAGATGATGTTCCATAACAGCAAAGTTTTATATAGTTAGTTTTAATAGAATTACTCGTTACTAGTACAGTCATCATCTTCTTGTCACAAGTACTCTTATCTCGCCTGTGTGTTGAGTAATTACAAATAAACTACTGCCGATTCGTTTCATTTCAAAAGAACACGACGAAAGCACTTGTAAAGAACAAAAAGAATAAGTAAGCAGAATGGAAGATGTTCTTATAAAATTCTCTGCGGAGATAATTAAAAGCGTCTCAAAAGGAGGTCGAGGTTTGTGATAGTTTCAACGTTTTCAATGGGAGCGTGTAATTTTTCATAGTGTCGGTGGTGATAAATCAGTGCGCACACGGCAGCCATATTTCATAGCCGGTCAGTTCTCAAGCGATCCAATAAATTGCGGCGACCAGTGCGGCCGGCGTGATTGCTGCGCGCCTAGTCTCAGCCGCGCCGTGCCCGCCCCGCCCGCGCCCGCGCCCGCGCCCTGCTACTATTCTCAAATTATTATAATCTAATCTCCACTGATCTACTGCAAGTCCTTTTTACTCGAGTTATTAAGTAATCATAATTAACAACACGAAATTGTTGAAAATTAAATTTTTCAGTTCAAAGAAAGCCTTTGAAATGTCGTGCTGTTGTAATTATTAACCATTTTTTCAATTATGTTGTCCTTTATTCGTTTCTTGTAATTACTTGTAAATAACAAGCTTTTGTTATATTTATTTCGTGAATATTCTGTGAAAGAGTATTTAAAGGTATTATAAATTAGGAATTTCGGTGTGATCTCTGAATCTAAACTTTTAACCATAGCCATATCAATATATCATTTGTCATGTTATCAGGGACTGTGTATCTGCTCCTGCATCAGCAAGCACCTGTCCGCAAGTCTCAATATATCGCCATTGTATCGGGCGCTCATTTCCCCGACACTCCTGGTGTCCACAATAACGCTTCGTATGTATTTATTCTATCAAAACTTTACTCACTTTTACACAGATATCGCTCTATTTTCCGGCTTAAAATAAAGTAGAAAAGACCTTTATCTTTTGTTAAGTAATCAACAGTGCAACTGTTCACTAGTAGTGTTTTTTTTCAACGTTACACTTTATACAAAACAGGATTAATTTTAGAATTATTAGAATTGTCTTTAATGTTTACACGTAGCCTCGATCTCTGTTAAGATTTAATAAAAAGTTACTGTGAGCCGATCCTACAAATAAACCGCACCAATGCAGCACACGGCGGTAGGCCGTAAGATATTGTCATTAAATATTTTAACGAATACCTCCATATATACTTATTTGCTTACTTTGTCGTTATAAATTATTATGTTAATGTTAAAATCCTAAAATTGTGACCGCTATTACAACCTCTTGTTACTCCTGGACAAATCAAAAAATGTAAAATTAGGTTAAGTATTTATTTCTATACAAGTGATTTGTAATCTTTTAGAAATAAATGAATTCAAACCGTAAATTGTTGTGCCTACATGAAATAATATTAAATTATGAATCCATATTCTAAATACATTTTATGTATGTGAATCCTATGCAACTTCGACATTGTGTTCATATTGCGACATAAAGAGAGACGCACGATTTCACGATCAAGATTTATTCCTTTCTCTCGTATTGTAAAATAAATATTTACCAGTACAACGGAACACAATGACAATGAGCTCAACAAATAAAACCAGCTTTGCATCACAATATTCGACGCGGCCATTGTTTAAATTCTATTCTCTCTGTCTCTAGATATTGACCTTCTCGTAGCCAATTGTAAAACCTGCGCTCAGTTAACATTCTTCAAAAACTGCTTTGCTCCAATCTCAGTTACACAACAGATATTTTATTTTGACCATCAGCTCATTTATGAAAATGTCAAAACGGTTTTCTCTGTAGAGAGATAATTGAGAAAGTCAATCTCTAAACCCATTTTCTGTACAGGTTTGTAATTCACGCGGTCTTTCCACAGCATGGCGCACTATTTGCGATCCAAAAGTGCGTGGCAGCAGGAGAATAGAGATTTAAAGCACATTCATCGTTACAAGGGTTCGTCTTAAAATTAGTTGCCGAAATTCTCGGCACAAACTTTTGGATACAGAATCATTGTGCGGCCGCCACGCGCCATTCTGTGCGCCACTTCAAACGACTTCGGTTTTATCCTTTTCTTTATTTCAATATATTCCTCAGTTCGGAGCTGAGATGAAAGATAGAATTAAGGCCGCCTTTATTGTACTCGCTTTCTCGAGAATCCATAGAATCAGCTCGAAGCAGGGAACATGTTCCTCTTTATTTATTGATCCTTTGTCTCCAAGAGTGGCTGGAATACTGACGCATGGCTTCCCTTGTTGTGTCCCGACTCCCGGCGACAACATCGAGGGCGTTTTGTTTCTCCTCGTGATTAGATAAAAGATTCGATTGTTAATTGTTACCGGCGCGCGGCGTACAATCGTACTTACGTTTTGATCACGTTCCGTCTCGATCGTCATGAAACTATTTATTTATTTCATTGTTCCAACCGACGATTGTTTGACATTTTTGATAATAAAAGTTTATTTGTTTTCTTATACTGCTGGCTTACAGTTTTATTACTACAACAATGTTGGCATTACATAACCTTTTGTACTTTAATTTGGCAAACGTGAGCCGTTATATTTGTACATTAATTTAACGAAACTCCTATTATTCTCTGAAGTAGTAGGTTTCTCTGCCTGTACAACACTGTAATTACTGAAAATTAAACTCTGATGATTGATACTCGATTTGTTATTATGATTTCAACTATCAAATCCTTCAATAGACCATATAAACAATATTTCAAAATTATAAGAAAAGATAAAGTGGAGAAGTTGGAGCCACGTCCAAGCTCAGTAACTACTGGAGCGTTATCATTCCTCGTCTCAATCCGCTTTGATAATAATCCATCGACAACGTTCCCAGCGAGCTGCGGCGGCTGATATACAGTAATGAACAGCTATCGGCTACGAATGAACATCGCCACGTAGACCCTAGATTGTTATATTTGCCAGAAATACTATTGATATAGTAATCAACGCAATTCAAGACACATACCGTCCTTGTTCAAGCTGTAAGGAGTAAAGTAAACTCTTATGTCGTATCTTTATCTGCTTCGTCCATCTCATCGCGGACTTTATGAACGAGTATGTCAATGCCATCCGCATCTTGAGATATTGACCTCGCAATAATACGACCGAGATGACCCTCCCAATGGCTGTGTGCAAACAAAGACACGCCAGTATTTAATATTAATAATATCGCGGAGGTGCTCCCGGATCCCGAAGTGACAACTTTTTGTTTTGTTGACTTATTCGTCTTCGCGTGCGGTGACAGATTGCCTCGCGGAGCGACGAAAATTGCTTTTTGTTTCTGTAATAATACTCATGACAAGTATATTCCGCGGGATTTTGATGAATTGACGCTGATTATGCGTCATTCTTACTGGTTTCAGAACATAAGTGTTCAAAGTTCATCCAGGATCAAATATTGTAGAGGAAGCTAAGCCGGTAAATAATATAATTAGTAGTGAGTGTGCTTCGCGAGACCTTCACGCCGTGATTTTGTACAAATTGAAAAATAGAATAGTACCATTGACCTCGTAATCTGAAAATCTTTTTAAAGCAATGTCATTTTAACGAAGGTCCCTTAAGATTGTACAAAAAAAGAATATTAAATTACAAGCTATTTTCCAAAATGGAGATAATGAACCGAAGAAATACGAATCTCTTTGTTCGCAAAGTGATCCCTGCTTAATTAATTCCTTGGGGAATATGAAAAAAAAAAGTTTTGTTAAGTTCGGAAGCAAATAATGCTGCTACTGCTCCGGGGACACTCGACTCTACTTATAATTTGTTCCCAAGTTTTCTGTTCACCTAATTTCCTTAGTAGCTATCGTCTTTTCAATGAACACAATACTTTTAAAACACTTTGGAGATCTTCCATTGACTGTGAACTCGAGAAGGAGATGTACAATATGAGAGCTGACCTATATATTTGAGTGAAGCTGGTGTCCGTTACGCAATGGTTCATTAAACGTGGATCACACAAAACGTCTGTCATCTGTGACTGACGACATGCTTCTATTTATTCGCGTTCACTTGCCGCTCGATCCTTTCTCACAAATAGCCAAAAGTTTGTTTATTGATAATAAACATTTGTCCGGCCCACTGGCCCAGTAAGTTTGCCCTATCAATCATCCGCAATGTATCGTAAACTTACTTACTGAGTATGAACTTACCTATTTGTGAAGTTCCGTTCGAGAGGGAAAATATCACGAACCACTTCACTTGTATTGTTACTTAGTAGTTTAACTTTACCACTGAGTTACTTTTGTTTCCACTATTTTGTTTGTTTTAATCAATTTACGGTCTCGAAACTATTTGTTTAATTCTTTGTTATGTAAACACTGAGCACTTGAACATTTCCTCAGAATAGATCCATCACCGAGCACTGGTAGCGGCACACGTGATCGAGTTTAATTTGACACGCGGCGATAACACGCCGACATCGCGGTATAGATTGATGGCGCCCAACGTGGGACCGGGCCGAGTGAGCCACAGCGTGCACGTGCATGCGCTCCGCCGACCGGCAAGATACTGCCGGGTGCGCACGCCTGAGCCCGGCCATCCCCCCTCCCCGCGCGCCCACACCCCCCATACACCCCGCTGCAATTCGGCACACAAAAAATCACATCAGAAAAGAAACCTTTCTCTGTCAGTGAGCTTCAATGGTCGTTCTCTCACCCCTTAGGACTTAAGTGCTGCTCGTTCAGTTATTAGTTATCTTACTTTTATCGGTCTCTAATGACTACTTTGCAATAATTTATGACGGCTGCGTGGATGGGTGCTAATTTCTTTTTGGGTGTAAACACATAGGTATGTAGATTCGTTTTCCAACTTGCAGCTAGATAAGTAATTTACGTTACATTTCAAAACACTTGAACATCAAACGGGACGAGCTCAAAGAAAGCGTTTTTGCTTATTTTCATACATTACTTCTCTCGCCGTTTGCGGAACTTATTACCATGATGTATTCTTTTATTTACCTGCTTCGTTACTTGTGATCTAAACATAAACGTACTGCTTTATCCTCTGTTGCAGAAACTAGAGGAAACTGGAATTGCATTTTTCATATTATATTATAACGAGATAAATTCTTCCTTTCAAAATGTATATAAAATGAAATAGTTTACTGGAACATGTCTGAACAACTGAATTCTCGTATAGTTGTTGAATATTCAACCGGTATCGTAGCGAGGTGCTAGTTTTGTGCTTGAAGCAAAAGTCAGGCAACAAGACGTTCAGTTAGAAGTTGTGCGTTGTGCTGGCGAGGGGGGGGGGGGGGGCACTTCGGGACACTGCAGCTCAACTATTGTGCGAACTGAACCACTCACACATATAAACAATATAAATTATGCTTCTCTTCAGCTATTGAACAAACTTCTAAAGGTACTAAAGTATAATTTTGTTTACTTACTTTTCTGCAGGGTGTGAAGTTCTCTTAAGTTTCATACACAAATCGATTAAAAATTATAACATTTGATAAATGATGTATCAGTTTTTGAACACAAATCGTCACTACTGCCACTAGAGTAGTGCTCCAGATTTATGAAGGTAATCAGAGCCAGCTCAAGGTCAGATGGCAACAAGGTGCCCTCTCGGAGGTAGGTCAATGTTTGGCTCCCTACACATGTGTTTGTGTGTACGTGTGTACCGTACATTGCAACATTGGAGTTGATTAATTGATTGATAGGCTATCGGAGAGCTAACTATGTATTTGTTTCGACCTCAGCAATTACTTAGTAATCGTGAGATACTTTTGCTGCTCTTCTATCAATGGTAATAAATAAATTGAAAGAATGAAAAGGTCTTGATGTTGTCTGTATATACTACTTTGTGTGTGACCAGTTTATTGTGACTATTAAGCATGTTCATAGTTCGAGTTTTGAGTAAAACTGCTCGACCATAATGTAATAATATTATATAAGAATTGTTTTTTCCGAAACAGTGGACCGAAAAATACTCACATAAAATATCCATGTAAGAACACACATACCACGTACAGAGTAGCTTATAGGTGACTTAGAAAATGCGCTCACAATATCGTTATCATTATTACGGATCGAAGCTCTATAATGCATCTAGAAGCAGAGGGACCGATGCCTTCGTTAGATGATCCTACTCCGTAAGGACAACTGCTTCATAAATCAAATTGTAAATAGTTATGGATCACTATGCAAATTCATATTCTTAAAGTAATGAAATGATGAATAAGTTTTTATTTTTCATTTCTATTTATCCAATCGGATGACTCCCAAAATATACAAAGAGTATGTAAAGTAACAGTGGAAAATTGATACCAAAACCTGAAATATTTTGGCAGAAGTTTGAATTCCCACGAGAAACAATGGATGAACTTGTTGCAATATTATAGTCAAACATATATTTATCTCAAAACAAACAAAACAGTAATGCTTTTTTTTAAACATTTATGTCTATCTCTAATGCGAACTGCTAAAATAATGGACCTTTAATATTTTATTGATTTAAGCTTGCCGGCATGAAGTACCGTTTCCAAAATAATGGTATAAGGAGGGACGCGAGCCCTCTCACTCTCTGGCGATTAACAAATCAAACAAGTGACTCTCGATCGGGGAGGTCCACTAATCCATTCCGTCGACTTCTATTTGAGGATTTGGTGCTGAGAAGTAATTATTTTAATAATTACTCAAACTGAAATCTATAATCTGATTTTCTGTGTAATTCTGTGCAAAATTATCTCATAACAAAAAGGCATTAAGTATTATAAAATAGTCTTCTTAGCAATACATTCGTGAATGTGACTACACAGATCAATAACTTGGTTTATTAAAGAATATGTTGTTAACGAATGTCGTTCACAACAATGCAATCGCCCACTATCCTCGCTACGACGATGCTACGGAACATTGCTACGCCGTAGCTTGTAGTGCGGTAAGAGCTACGCCCCAGCTAATATAAATGTTCAAACGGGAAGCTACAAAAGAGTGCGCTGCACCAACACGCGATTTCAAAGAAAACCTTCAGAACACTAATATTTCAGCACACGAGCCGAGGCACCTCACTTATCTTCGATTCTTACTTTTTCTATACTCTGAGATACGTAAACCAAAAGAGACTCTATTTTCTTGTTAGTCTAAGTCCAATATATTTTGCTGGTAACATTGTTTGATTCTGTTTCTCATTCAAACGATTAAAAGTGAACTTTATTGAGGGGTACTTAGCGTTACATTTCGTTCGGTGTAAGAATGGCATCAATTTCTCACCTACACAATTCGGTATCGGCTCTTTTCACACGCCTTTGTTCCTAATGTTCATTACGTATTCTCTCTACTGATATCGAGGTTAGATATAAATTTTATAGGTTTTATTGTGGGGTCGTGTCTATTGTGCGAAGGGATTTGTTTTTCGGCTCCGTCGCGTTAAGTACGAGT